GCTGGAGTCCAGAAATAGTGCTAATATGGGAGCTATTAGAGTAACTGTAGGAAGTCCAGGTTAGAAGACGCCTTTCGGAGGTCAATTTAATTTACCTCTGCACCAGGAGCCATTCAGTTACCACCCAGAAAGCTGAGACACCAGCCAGTTGGTCTATTAGGATGGCATTTCCACAGCTAACCGTGTACCCATGCAGCCTGGTTCACTCATGCAGACGGGGCTGGAGTAGGGAATCTCACCCTCTGATTATTGTTTACACAGCTCCGACCAAGCACACATATCCTAAACAATCACCCAAAAAGTCCACCCGTGACTTTCTCAGTGTAGTCTCAGAAGGCGTGATTTTGAAACAGGACTTCGCATACTGTGTCCAGACTTAAGACATTTTCCACACACAACCCTCACTTAACCACAGTGGGAAAAATGTTCCCATCGCAGTGCAAACACGTACAGTGGGAGAGTTGCAGTTAATGTCAGCCTGCCCCCAGTCCAGCCTACAGGCATCTCTGTGAAAGCTTATCTTTCACGGTGTCTTCAGAAATACCTCCTATTTTGTGGAGGTTTTTCCTTGCTAGTACCAGTACTATTTAAAGCGAACAGAACAGTGCTGAACATTTAACGACATACGCTGCAGTTGCAAAATGCACATCTGTCAAAACGTGCTGTGGACAGGAGACGCACGGACAGTGCTTTGGGGTTTGGTCATCTTTGCCTGTAACAGGTGTTCCTGGAGTAGAATGGCCAACATTTGCTATTTTGACCAAGAATGTATACTTCTCTAATTATTTCCGTTTAGCCACCATTTCCATAATTTCTATTTACTGAATGACCGAGATAGAAACACTACTGTAATTGATACAAATTTCTAAAATATCTCTAGCAGTTTTAGAAACAATAGTAAACATAATTAATCAGGGTAAAAAAAATCGATGGTGCTTGTATACCAAGTTCTGGCAAACATGTTATTGAGATAAATGATTCCTTATGAAAAATGTGGAAAATGCAGGTCTTTTCAGTTACACAAATTTATGGAAGTGTACAGGGATGAAACATGCTGAAAACTAAGTGTCTCTTATTTTATGTGAATTTTGAGAGCATGCTGTCATGGGGCTCTGCATGAAATTTCATTTCATAGATACTTATCTTGACACCCCCTTCTTAACATTTGTTGCATGAAAACACTGCACTCTTCAAAGAACACGTACTTCTGGGAAGGGGAAGATAATAAGAAATTGTTTTGCTTAAAGAATAAAATAAGAATAAATGTAAAGTCAAGGTTTTGTAACTGTTTTTAAGGAAGAGGTTTCACATTTCTGTTAGTCCAGGAAAGGCTCAAATGGATTAATATTCATAAACAGGCAGCAAAATGTTAGCGCCAAACAGAACTGATGGCCACGTCGGGCTTTAGCCATTGTGCCCTGGATGTGGGAAGATTCCGCGTTAGCAGGAGTTGAGCAGACGCCACATGTTCTGTTCGAGGCCTCCCTTCAGGAACTAATTTTTAGGGAAGGCCTGGCTTTCAGAAGGCAACACGTTCTAATGAAATTTGCTGTTCCTTCTCCCAGACGCTCAGGCCCAGGGGGCTGGGCACGCTGACCCACACAGATGGTCACTGCTGGCTTTTCCCCGGCAGGACAGACTTCCAGTTGTATTTCCAGAAATGTTGGTGCATTTGTTTCACCCACTTTCCCCAGAGCCCAGTCTGTCTTTACAATCAATAGCACACGCTCGTGCTGGCGTCTCAGAGTCGTGTGGGCACAGGAGACACAGGCTAACGAGCCCACGTGGGAGTGGATCCCCAAGTCTGACTAGCAGGGGTTCGAACCTGCAGACATGACTAACTCTCTCCTGAAGTCCAGTTCTCTCCGGCCCACTCTCTCCTCCCCTCATTTCATTTCCCTGTCGCTCCCTTGTTAGCTGAGCGCCTCCTGCTGGCAGTGGGAGATGTGTGGTTGAAAGATGAACCCCTCACCAATCCGTCCCCTGGACTGGAATCCACTGAACCAAGAGAGCCTTTGGAGGAGCTACTGGGCGTGTTTCCAGCATGTGATACAGGAAGAAGCCCCCACTGCGCTCCTAGGACAGCAACCGCATAGTAGGGTCGCCACCGGCTGCTACAAAATAGAAGACCCGAGAGTCTGGGGTTGGGCGGAACTTCAGAGATCACCTAGTTCAATTTGCTCAATTTAAAGAGCAAATTTAAACTAAGGCCTAGAGAAGCTCAGAATCACAAAGTTCGCTAAAATGCAGATGTAGGAATTCCAAGCCTAAACTCAGCCTTGTTGTAACCAGTGCGGCTTGTGCCAGTAACTCTCCACAACTTATCTCTGGCTACAATCACGTTTTCACTGTTCTGTTTAAAAACACACTGCAGATCGTAGACTTAAGTTTGGGTGGAAAACCCTCAACAACGACTTTACAGAATTTCTGTGAAAGATGACAGTGTGTACCTGTACCGCACGACTGTTCACATCAAAATCTCACAAGCTTTGTATTTGCGGGCATGGAATACTGGAAGATTTGCCTTACAAGAGAGTGGATTCTGTATTTCAGAAAAGGCACATTCGAAGGTGGCACATGCTGTGAAAACAACCCTTTTCAGGTTATTATCTAGAGAATAATCATGTAAATTTGATATGAGTTATTGGTAGTTAGTCTAAAGTTGTATCAAGGCCGTATGTTACCACAGGCAATTTCTTCAAATGCATAATTTATAATGTAACCTCCATGACTGCCTGAGAGTCCAAGGTAGAGTCATGAACTAATCCAGCAGAAACAGACCCTTGAAGATGAATTAGCATTTAGCTGAGGTCACAAGGACAGTTCGATCAGTAGTTTCAGGCTATTCCTCAGAGAGCTTGCCAGATGACACCAAACTCCAACATGTTCCCACCACTTCAAATCAACTCTCCGAAATGTTCAGGTTGCATATCCAGGCATGGAAGGGCCTACAGCTGCTTAGCAATTATACTGCATCATATTGAGAGAAACTACAATCCCCTGGTACCAAAGATAAGCTTTCCACTTAAACATCGAGGTGAGGAGAGTTGAGGAACATTTAGGAGAAAAATGTATGGGAGGCGACAGAGAAATACAAGAGGAAGAAAAAAGGACAGAGACGTGGAGGAAGACAGGGACAAAGAGACTGCCAGCCGGATACACAGAGAAGAAGGGTGAAGGAGAGGAAGCTACAGAGGAGTGAAATGAAAAGAAAAAAGAATGAAAACTGGGCAGACGCCCAGGGATAAAACACAGACGTCCTGCGGAGGAAATGGAAGGCATGGTGACTATAGCTAATACCACTGTGCTGTGTACTTGCAAGGTGCTCAGATCTTAAAAGTTCTCATTGCCAGTAGAAAGATTTTTTAAAAAATGTGGAGAGAAACTAAACGATGTGTGAGCAAAGAGAAAGGAAGAGGGGTGGATGGCCAGTGGGGAGGGAGGGTGAAACGACGGAGGCCGCCCGTGACCCACGCGGCTGGGACACCGCGGTCTGACCCGAGGCGCAACTGCAGTAGTGAGCGTCAAGAGGAGGAAGAGGCGAGGAGAGATGCGTGCAGACGTCCGTCTGCTTGGGTATTAACTCACCCCTTCAATACTGCTGTGACCCAAGGCTCTACCTTCGCCATCCATCCCTTCCTCTGATGCTACCGTAGCCTTGAGTGACCTTGTCCAAGCCCCTGGCTTCAGTGGACACAGGTGGATGACTTCGACAGTGGAAAGCGTTATTCCTGGTCCACACCAGCCTATCCGACTGCCCAGCAGACACGCGCACCTGACGCTGCAGGAGGAGTGACCTTGAGGAGTGCAAAGCCAGACTCTCTGCCTTCGCTCCCCGTGCGTGTTCCACCTCCCACACACCCCACATTCTGAGGACCGGCGATACCTCCGCTCACTGCCCCAGGAGCACCCAGGGTCTTTCTAAACTGTTTCCTCACCCTCAGATTCCGTCTCCAAAGGGCTACAAAAAACAAAGCATACCTCCCAATGTTTCTCAAGCTGCCTAACTTTCACTCAGTGGGTCTTCCCAGCTCGAGTCTTCTTCTCTCCTCGCTGCACTCAGCCCTAACACCAGAGTGATTCTTCTAAGATAAAAAGTACATCGCCTGACCACCCGCTTAAAGGCCGTCGGTGGATTCTGTGAGCAGGCCGGCTCCTTAGATGGCCAGACAAGACTTTCAAGACCTGGCTTTGCCAACGCCTCCTGCCACCTGTGACCTCACTCACACTTCATGACAGCTTTTAAACTACATAAAAAAGAGGAACGTTTATCTTCTCGCTTCTTGCCGTCTACATTTTTATACTGACCATTCTTACAGAACTTGAACACTATTATTAAGCAAGTGTCCATTCATTTCCACGAGACAAAAGACACTGCATATTTCTCAAGCACTGGAGGTGAGGACTGCTTATTATGGTCGTATTATCTGTTTTTCTCTGCTCTCGACCACCCTTGGCTGGACAGGGCAACCACACAACATCCAAAATGCCTGTCCTTCTTGTCCGGGTGCCCTGGGCCTCTGTCAGGCTGTCTTTTGAGTGGCCCTTTCTCCCGGGATGTTGGGCTGCTTAACCTGAGCACGGTGCCCTCACAAAGCATCGGCCAAATGAATTCCGTCCCCATCACCACCTCCACTATCATGACAAGGAAAGGTCTTCTCTCGTGTGTCCTCAGGACCTGGTGTGTTGGTAATGAGCACCAAGTGTTTCCTGGGAAATAAAGGATTTTACCCCTTCTACTGAGCTTTACGTATCGACCTGCAGGAAGACGCACGCCCGTAGGTTAAGCTGACCGGATACGCCCTGCATGTTCATACGCAATCCCAGCCGTGTACTGTAAATTTTTTCCTGGATAACATACGATGCAGAATGCGAACACTCAGTCACAGGCGTGACTCGCTCAGCAAGGCCAAATGAACGACAGGATAACTTCACACACGAGGAGCCCCCTGGCAGGCAGGGGGACAGAAGCACATGTGCGACAACAGTCAGGGTCTCACCTTTTCTTCATCACCAGCACGACCCCCAGAAATATGATCACGAACAGCAGGATGCCAGCGATGACCCCGGCGATCTTCACCGTGTGGTCCGTCTGTTTCTCGGGCTCTGGGACCGGTTTGGGAGTGGCGGCTCCTGAAGGGGAGAGGAAACGGGAAAGCACAGACGGTGGGTAAGAGAGAATAAAGATGTTACCTTTTCAAAGTGTCGCCGCACTGAACAGAGTAATGAGACTTATCAGAGCCAGCAGACAGACGGGCTTTGATTTCTTTCCAACAGCTTTCCTAGGCGCTGAAAGGGGTGTAATTGGTCGCATTGTTCTCTCATATTTCACTCAACTGCAGCACAAGTCAGAGAGCCCACCCACGCCTGACCCTTTTATAAGAGACTCTTTTCAAACACCATTTTTAAAAATATTTTTATTATCTCTATTGGCTCCCTGCTCTTTCTGCCTTTTAAAAACGTGCTAACACCACACTAGCTCGCCGAAGGCTTTATCCAAATTTGATTTGCTGGAACATTTTCCCCAATTATTTTTCATAAACGAAGCGGTAATTCCAGAACATATTAGCCCCAACACCTGGAGGAGGGAGATAAGCTCATGCACCAGGCATTTCACCAGCAATTGTTTTTTAACACAATAGAGATTGTTCCCCACCCTGCCTTGGAAAACTTAAATCTAGGTCACATCTGGTAGGCAAAAGACTCCTTCTAAGCAATTTATTCACAAAGTGGGAAGCGGCTGCTGGTCACACTGCTGGCACCCACACTTCGTATCTGTTTAAATGAGATAACCAGTGGCTACTGTCTTAGCTCCCCGGCCTCCCCATTTCCCAGCACCGCCTGTCCCTGTTTACGGTATAATGTGATGGAATGTCAACTCTACTTCTGATGAAATATCCATTTCCTCTGCTAAATGAGTTCAGGATGAAAAATAGGAGGGATGCAATGTTCAATTCGCTACACAGGATCCATTCTTCTCAGGGCTTCTGCCTTTTTTAATCAGAACATGACAGTCCTCGGCATCTGAGCTAGCAGGTCCCCTCCCCAGGGAGACAGGTAAGGAGGGATTTTAGGTCCACATTTCTCACGTTAGAATTTTCTTCTCTTTTTTGTTGGTAAAACATGCAGCTAACATTGACGATCGGTAACTGCCCTTTCTGCCCTCCACTAGGTTTCCCATTCATGCTTCATGTGATTCTGGAAAAACTTACACCATCGCTGTGCCCCATGCACACCAGACAGGTTTACCCTACGATGAGTCATCACAGAGAGATGGGGGTGTCAGCTACAGCTTCCCATCTGTTTCCACTTGGAAACTAAACACAGTTTCTTGTAAAAGCTGCTCATATGATGATTTTATAGGAGACTCTGCATCCTAACAGAACTGTGGCCGTCAGATGGATGGAGCTGGTAAGGACCAGGTTGCAACACAAGGCAGAAGACCGACGGCCACTATCACCTGAGTTTCCACCCTATGTGCACTTTCAGAGTGACAAGTCGTAATGATGGCTGTTCTGATGTGAAAGTCACACCTGATTAAATGCAAAGCCTTCTGGATATAGTGACCCTTTACCGGCCATTTTTATTTCTGACCACTTCAAGAGGATGTCCTGCTATTCTGTTTGAATGATATCCTTCAAACATTTGTCCAGATAAATCTTGAAAATATAAACGTTTATTGTTTTTTAATTGTAATTGCATCTTTTTTTTCCTTTAATTTTATTTTTCTTTAAATGTAATTGATTTACAGTGTTAGTTTCAGGTATACCACAAAGCAATTCAATTGTTATACACATACATACAGATATATTTTCTTTTCAGATTCTTTCACATTATATCTCATTACAAGAAATTGAATATACTTTCCTGTGCTGTATAGTAAGTCCCCGTTGTTTATGTATTTTATAAACAATAGTGCATACCTGTTAATTGTAATTATATCTTAAGTGTACCACCCCAATATGCCACTGGACTGTAACAGCCCAGTGGTAGATTTAAAGGATATTGTTACTTTAAATAAAATGCTAAGAAAAATTTAGAGATAAAATGTGTATGTTTTAAAAGATGAATAAGAGGTAAAAATAACATATTTCAAATTCATGAAGACAGAAAAAAGGCCAATGGTTTCCAATTTTGATTTTTTTAAATCCAATTTAAAAAACTTAAAAATAAAACCAAATTGGTTTTATTCTTCCAAATGTTAGCACATTGGGAACCATTCCGTTTATCTCACTGGGTGTAGACTGCAAGTTCGCCAAATATATATGTATTTTGTGTGTGGGGGTGGGGGGAGGTAACATTATTTTATTTATTTATTTTTAGAGGAGGTACTAGGAATTGAACCCAGGATCTTGTGCCTGCTAAGCACACGCTCTACCAAGGAGCTCTACCCTTCCTTACCTTCGCCAAAGATATTTTCTAAATAAATGATTCTCCAAGTATTTTTTGTAACAAAATTACGCCAGTAAATACAACACTTGGGAAGGAAATTATTTAGAAAAACTTGATTTAGCTTGATTTAAATATAAAAAAATCCGTGTTGCACACGGATGCAACACATACATCGCAAACACTAAGAGAAGAGCCTGTCCTGTGAATGGTCACACATGTGCTTCTGCTCACCGAACGGCAGGAGGCTGCAGCCTGAGTCAGGGGAGGGCCGCCCCTGCAGCCCTTCGTCCCCAGAGGGGTGTTGTGCAGCCGCGTGAGCTCAGGAGCCTCACTCTGCAGCACTTACTTTTAACACATTTCACATCGCAGGTCAAGAAAACGAGGTGTCCTCTCACTGCGGGAAACAAGTGCAATGTGATGAGGGCAGCAATCACGCAAAGTTGGAGAGCAACGCCAAAAAGGCACGTCTGTGAGCCACCCTCCCTGCGCAGATCGCCGCGGCATGCCTGGGTGACGCGGCTGGTCCTGGTGTCTGGGTTTAGGACGCCACTGGGGAGGCAGGGACACAATCACAAGCTGGGATGAAGTCAGTCAGGCCCTGGGGATGACCTCACGGGGGCGCACCATTAGTCACAGGCTCACTCTGGGTGCACACTTTTCCGCCCCTCCCCGGGTGCTCGCCCCGAGTCCTGCCCATGATGGACTCCCTTCGGTCCTCCCGCCACATAACCTCTTCTCTCCACTTCTGTTTCTTTGGAAATATGTGGCCATGAGCTGTCAGTTGGCCTTGGCCTCGGACAGAGGATACTTTGTGACAGAATGTGGTTGCAACCAACAGCTAGCTTTTTTTCCCTTCCTTACCACATCTATGAACTTAACGTTATAATTTACAAACTGCTTGGCCAAAGAGTTGTTTTTATAATATTTCCCCCTTTGTCTTGTTATTTTCTTGCCAGGCTTCTAATGTTACAAACTTTTATTCTTTTTTTCTTTTGGTATAAATTTCAGTTCTTCATGGAAAAGCATTTTTTTTCTCTTCTACTGCGCATTTTGCTTAGAGTTGACCACACATTTAGCTCCGTTTAAAGAGAATAAACTCAAATGTATGCATTTAACAGGGAGCATCATCTAGACTTGAAGACATTGATTACAGTGATGAATAAGCTAAATACTTCAGGGGATGGAGGACGAGAGGCTGCTGGAATACAGAGCGGAATCTGCAGATATCCTGCTGCTGATGCTCAGTGACAGCTCCGGGTGTTCTGTATTGTTTTAATGACCAAGAAAAAAACTTGTTTTAAAGGGTGGTATTCCAGTGAACCTGCATTATTTAAGGTTCCAGATATACCATCTAATGTGAAAGATCCCACAAGAAAGAGAAGGATGACCCTGTGTAGTGTTTGGTTGGTTTTCAACAGTCCATCTTGGCCCCATGTTGGATGTAAAACAAAATGACCTGCTAGCTGGGCTGCGCACTGGGTGGACTCAGTCACTGACTCGAGGGCCTGGCCCAGCTCTGCCCACTGAGCTGGCTGGACAGACTCCCCAGAGACACACGGATGCCAGCCTAGGGGGACGTGGAGACCGTCAGCCCTGCCTGGAGAGGCTGAGCCCACAGCGCCAGGGTAGTGTCTCCTGAGAAACACGGGAAGCAGGTTTAGAGGGAAGGGCAGGGGCGTGGCCGCCCAGGACCTCTGCATGACGGACAGGCCAGGCTGTCCCTGCATGGGGGGAAATCGGGAGCATTCGTCATCAAGTATTTATCGAGCATCCAGCTACGTGTGCAGTTCCAGGAACGCAGCAGTGAGCATCTGGGTCACACAAAAGCCTCTGTCCTCGTGGAAGTTAGATTCCTGCGGGAGACAGACTCAGAGCAGAGGGTACCGTGTGCAGGATGTCAGTCAGAGTTCATGTTGCAGAGAAAGACATGGATGGGGGTGGGGGGTAGCCCTTGAGCAGAGACCAGAAAAAGGAAGAGGAGCGAGATACACTGACACCCAGGAAGAGCAGTGGGAAGAAACGGTTTGAAGGTACCAGCCCCTGGAAGGACTCCGCTCTTTCCCTGCAGGAGCCAGGAGCTCCGGGGGGATTCGGAGTGGAGGAGCGATGCGACCTGGCTCAGGTTGCACCAGGATCATGCTGGCAGCAGTGCTTAGACGGGCACGTCAGTTACGAGGCCTTTGCAGGATACCGGGCTGTCGGCAGTCAGACGGCAGCAGTGGAGGTGGTGAGAGGTGGTCGAGCTCAACTACACCTTGCCAGTGGAGCCATCAGGTTGGCCCATGAGCTGGGTGCACAGGTGCTGATACAACACCCGGGCTTCTGCACGAGTGGCTGGAAAACGGGGTCACCAAGTCTGGGAATGGAGAGGACTCCGAGGGGCATGTCTGGGGGCAGGTGGGGAAACGGGGAGTTTGGTTGGGGTACGCTAGTTCTGGGATGTTACACAGATGCCAAGTAGGCTGTCAGACATAAAGGGGAGAGGCCTGGCCTCGGGGCATCTATCTGGGCGTCGTCAGCAAAAAGAGGCACTTAAAGCCCCGAGACGGCCTGAGGGCCCTTGGGAGAAGGTGCATCGCCAGGAGGGACGAGAAGTGGAGCTGAAAGGAGCAGCTGACTGAGGGAGTCTGAGGGAGGAGGGACACCGGCGAGGAGGGGGACATCGCGTGAACACAAACAGAGGAGCACCACCGAGAGGTGCGCAGGGCTCAAGGGAAGATTTTTTTTAAGGCATGAGAAAT